AAGATGCATCACCTAACCTACTTCTATTAAGGATCGCAGTTGCGCCTGAATGCGTATTTAGCCCATGCCCATATATTGAGGGCATGAGTTGGTTTGGGATGGTCAGGTCATGCACGAGACAGCATTCTGTCCTCCTGTGTGTGCCTGGGTTGACAAGTACACTCGAAATCCCTGAGATGAGGTAGGCGTGGCTGCGTACTTCAACTAAACGTCGTGGTGGCTATGCTTTGGAGAGATATTTTCATTTTGACCCAAATGTGGTCACGTCTCTGTCCAACAAAGAACAAGATGGCGGTTGTCTCAAATTGAAATATTGCACGAGTAACCAGTTCTGTGCCATGTTCGAATGCCACGCCTACCCCGTCTCAGGGATAAGGAGTATCGTGTCTAAGCCCACTTTCTCTACTGAAAAGTGCACTGCAACAGGGCTGGAGGATAGCGATGCCCAGGTACCGTCTCCGTAACCGCCCTCGCTACCACGACGTGTAGGCACTTCCGTCCATACAGAAATCCCGCAGTGAAGCACGCTCTCAATGGTAAAATACAATCACAGACAGATAGCGTTTGGCTATGGTTAGGAGTGCAGCAGGTCAGGCGTCAGCGCTAGTGGAATATCAAGTCGGCACCCGAGCATCGCTACTATGGAGCCCTATTCCCGTGCAGATTTGACAGGGAAAGGGGCATGATGCTGCAGCTGTCAACCCGTACACCTTACGCATGCGATGACCAGGTTTCATGGAGGTAGTGTTTACTTCATCTTTGAAGATCCCCCCCTCCCAACGCTCGCTAGTAGTTCACTTGAAGCAAAATTCTGTGGCAGTAAAGGAGAGCTTTGTGACTTTTGCTTCACTACACCCTTCCTTACAAGGGATTCCACCGCCATTTGCAACAATATGCACACCAGTGTAAGAGTCTTGGGCCGATGAACTAACACCTTCTTTCGCAACTTGGGGAACAATTTTGTGAGCAGAGTTACGAAGGGTTTTTTCCACCACTGTCACACACACCCTGTTGCATGAAAGCACCTTCTTAAATCCACGAAATAACAGCAGACCGTGGTGGTGCTACTCAGTCATTACTGTATCCGCCTTGCAGACGATTTGTCGCGGGACCAAATCTTTGATGGTTGTGATTTTCTGCTATTTTCAGGAACCTGGCTTAAAAGACTTCAAAGATATCTAGTGGATCAAAGCTTGCTCGTATTTCCTTCTTGGAGGTATTTGAGAGCAGTTTCTAACAAGTTTAGGCGCAATGTGGCTTAGAAGAAAACTCGGACATGTTGCTGTTAGCAGCCTACTGCGTTTTCGTACCATCCGAGTGCGATATTCGTGTACGGGAGTCAAATTGCCCTGGTGGGGGGGGGGGGGGCAGAGTTCCCTACAAGTCTGAGATTTTTGCCTAACTTCGAAAATGTACTCCAATCATGTGATGGTCGGATCGTAGTCCTAGAGCTAAACTGATATCGAAATATAGTCCTGGGACTGAATTAATTCTCTAGCCAGGTCCCTGAACGCACATTCTTACCTGTATGCTAACATACCCTGAAACATTTTGGCATTGTTTTCCAGAAAGGAATGCCTCCGTCAGTCTATTTTTCACACCTATTCAGCAGTGGCCGTATCTCCCTTTTGAGATCGCAGATCTTTTGGTTCCAATAGAGCTCCAATTTACCCTAAAACTAGAAGCTAATCCATCCCAAGGTCAGCCGCCGATGATAGGATGGGCTCAGGGCCACTCTTAGCGGCCAAAATTCAGGCATGACTTCTATGTTCCTGCCTTTTTCTCAAAGTCAGGTGAAAATTCCAGGTATAGATAGTAATTCGAACTCATGACTGTCTCTTTGAACATACACATCACTTTCTTCCACATTGAAATTGCATGTGGAGCGTGCTACGGGCCCGGACACGCAAAAGCCTTTTTCAGATCACAACCACTCATGCTTACGGATGGTTTCTCCCCTACAGAGCGCGAATTTGGTATTTTGACGCACATGCTGAGGAAGCCACACTACCCGCTGTTATGAGTGTTCAACCACCTGGTCTTTGCCCCTTTGAAAAGACTGCTGTGTAAAAAGCAACTGGCACGATAATTTCGTACTCGGCCTAAAATGCTAGCAGGGCGCTATATAGTGGGGGGAAAATGGCGAAAAAAAAACGAGGAACGGTCAGAAACCTTCAGAAAAGCCTTCGTTCTTATCAACTCAATAAGCAATTTTGGACGAGTTTCCCGTAGGCAGCTTGTAAATAATCGCTGCGGAAGGTACGGCTGCACGTATGTGCTCATATATCCATGCAGCACCGCGGCCGCTTCATATCAATCCCTTCGCTTCATATTTTACTTCGCAAATGAAGCAATACGAGCATCAGGTACGGTCGTCCATTTGTGGGCGGGCGGGCGTGGTGGGCGTCCGGGTCGGTATGTTGTAGCTTGATAGGGCCCTTATAAGGAAACCTCCCTTAGAGCAAGCACTATGCAGCGCCTGCTCAAGGTCGCGGAATCCCATTCTGTCATACGTGTTGATCCTACTAGTCTTAGGGCTTTATCGTGCCAACTGCCTTTAACTTTCATCATAGCTACTCTAGGGAGATGGATCCGCGACTTTGCCGAGCAGATTTGGATTCAGCGTCAAGGAGCCCCTTCAAGTCGGATCAACTTGTTTGGCTTCTCCTGTAAAGCATTTTTATGGCTACGCGATTCAGATTTGTAGAGGTTGAAGTCTTAAAGGTCAAATAATACAAAGTGATACTGAGTACTCCCTTCATGAAACATCGAAGTTGACGTCCATCATTTATGCCTTAATACCAACTACTAGTCAACTACAACGACCCCAAAAACAGAAAATTTTGGCACTATTCCGCTATTGCTACTTCCAGAAACACTAGAAAATTTTCGCCGAGTTTTGACCAGACATTTAAAGACAATTCCCGCGATCAAGTGTTGCGGGTAGTTGGGCTCTGTCATGAACCAGTATCCCATAGGTAGCTTCTCAGAAGAAAAAGAAGCGGAAAAAACCTTGGGAACACCTTGAACACAGACGTCACCCCAGCAGCCCTGGACGAGTGCGTCGGGCGCGAAGGGCGCGCGCTCCATAGCGATTGGAGCACAAAGCTTGAGCCGTGCGACCGTGGCGCTAGTGAAAGTCACAGGTAAGCTCGAAAAACACACTAACTGCTCTTCATTTCTTATCCTCCTCTTGCCATGAGTACGGAAAACGAATTAACTGCTCTTCCAATCACGTCCTTCCCATCGCTTGCAGAGTATGAAATTCAAAAAAGGTTTGCTGCTCTTTTGTTCACAACCTCCTAATGGAATTGCGCTTGCAAACCATCTGGAACCCTAAAACAGCCTATGCGTCTTCAATTCATGTCCAACGGTGCGGGGATTGCGCTTAATCGCTATAAAAAGCGAGGATCACCGAAGATGGCAAAGTGCCAGAAGGGCCGCGCGCAACACGCGCCGCGCGGGCGTTAAAGGGACGGAAGCAGCTCGGGACCCGACGCCTCGTCCACCTACCGTCTCCGTGAGCCTAGCGAGCCTTGTGGAAATCGCTATAACTTCCTTATCGCGTATTGAGGGATGAAAGTGGTATCATCTTCATCAAGGCGTAGAGGGTTCCAAAAGGCACGAAGTCATTTTGAGGACCACTTGATCGCGGGGAGTGTCTTTAAACGAGTGCCCTGATCGCTATATCGTTATCTATACTTCCGTAGTCGCTGACGCTTGCGGACGCGGATACACGCTGGCGGACGCTGTTGCAGAGTATGAACGCATTCTGACAACTTGGTTTCGTCCCGATGTGTACTCAATGACGAGTTTGGTAAAAAAAAACGAGACGGGCGTTTTGTAAACGCGAGGGCGTTTTGTAGCTTTATACATCGCATTGGTATCATGTGAGATTACTGTAACTCAGAGGTAGTGAAGGTATCACTAATAACGGATCATCTCAATCAAGCTCATAGTACTAAATGATTAGAGGAAACAGAATAGTAATGTACAGTACAGCTACAGCTGTGAAAGCTTTTTCACCGTCAAGCATATCTTTTTGGAGTTGCTCGGTTCAAAGTGATGAGGCATCGCTCAGTGATGTCTGCGGAGGTCCAGCCCAGCATCATAGTCAGGATTCCCGGCCACATATCCCTGATTGAATAATCGATGTCGCCAAAGAGGTTGACTGACCGTCATCACCTGCAACGTCCTTCGATTATTGTGGTCTTAGTAGTAATTTGAAGTGATACCTCCGGTCTTGATCGCATATGCGCAAACCAGCGTTGCAATTTGGGATAAGAAGCACTCGGGAAAGTGTCGATCCGCAAGTTTGTGACTCCAGGCTGAAACAGAAATGAAAATGAGCGCTGAGTGGTTCTATGTGGGGTATACTCATCCATCATCTGACCTATATTCCTTTCGCCACTTTTTTCCACAAAGAAGGAAATTCCGTTTTTCCTAGAAGAAAGAGTCCTCTAACGTGTCCTCTTGCTTGCTGCTGGGCCATGTCAGAGAGCTGGGATTGGCGCGGCGCTAACCCCTAGCACATCGTTGTACGTTAGTGAAGGGTGCCCGGTAGAATATTGCCCTTTTTTTCTGTGACGTCAAACCCTTCATTTATACGGTTTGCCGGCTGGGTAGATATATTGGAGGGATGTCAAGAACCAAGCCGGCAGACCCTATAAGGGGTTAGAGGGGGAGTTTTTGCGCCAACCGGGAGGGAACCAGCATTGCACTGCCTATACATTCTGGTCTCCACATTTGCAATCAGCATTACTGGCTTTGTCGATGCACCTAGATCTCCGGTCGAAGTCCCATAATAAGTTCAATGCCTGGCCCTGTTCGCTCAGGTTGGAAGAGGGGGTGGAGGAGGTGAGGAATTTTAGGTTTTACAGGGAAGCGTCCACAAACTCCGCTCAGTACCATCTGCTACCTCCACCAAGTCGAACTGCCGAGGGTGAGCCTTACCCTTAATGGTCGTTTGTCTTTTAAGCAGCCTGTTTTGCCTTTAAGACCAGTTGGCTCTCCTAACTATTAAATGAGCTCCTGCTCAACGGTGCCTTAGGCGTTCATATTCCGCGATCGCGCGATCGGATCGCTCGATCGCAGAATATCTAGTCGAGCGATTGAGACAGGGCGCGCCGCTCCGCCAAACGGTGCATCGCCGCAGCGGCACAATTCGATTTGGCACTGCCTAAAAGTGGTCCAGTTTGAATTCTGCAGTTGCGGCGGTTCACCTTTTGTAGCTCTCGGTCGGGATTGGAATGCGCGATGCAATGGCGAAGTATGATCGCGTATTTTGACAATATGTTGGGTAGGTCCCTCCTTCATCAACGACCCGCTCCCAGTGCCCCGAAAGCCTTTGGACCTCTGGTACCTTCGTTTTTTCAACAAGTGCGAGTAAATTGCTGTTGATGCCAATTTCGGCGAATGACAAAACATTGTAGCGTTTGCCGTCGGAGACTCTCGACTGACCAGAACAGTTGAAATCGCACGTTTTTGGGCGACTGAACGATTGAATAAGAGGTCTCAGTATTGTTTGTGTCCCAGCACTGCCCTACAATACAGTTACTCGGGGTCTGGCACTATGACGAGCAACGGTGGCCTTCTTGTAGTTGTGTGGTACATCCATTTGTCGATCTGATTGCCGAGGAACAGGCAATATACACCGACAGCGACGATTTTGTTCTCTGTATAGAGACGCTTCGGAACTACAATACAAAAATCCTTTGCCATGATGTAAAATAAACATAATAATAAATAAAATCCTTATCATCCAAATAGGGTCACGTAACTCCTCATGGCGGAATTCGGGCGGCTTGCATTCATAGAAATTGGCGCTTGTGAGTTTTGGCTCGGAGTTCAAGACCACCCATATTTCATCCAGGGCTGGGCTGCGTTTCCACAGTCGTGGATGACATGCGGATAACATAACTGCTAGAAGCATCGAATTGGTACTGCGTTCGTGCTTCAACAAGGAAAGCTAGGTACCCATACGTACACCCTCTTACCATCCTCAGTTTATCGAACAGAGCTCAATCTCGCGGGAAGCTCGACAAGGGTCCAGGCTCTGTGATCAGACATTCAGCGCTTGACTTCATCCACCCTTTTTTCTTGTGCAGGATGAACATTATGGGACCATCCACGACAACAAATTTTTTCCTTTCTTCCTTCTTCGGGCTCCTGAACCAAACCTTCCACCTTGTATTTCGAGAACACCATTACACACAACTACTGGTCTGGCGCAGGTCAATATTGAGCAGCGTACTCCTCTTACGACGCTGATTTGAAAATCCAGGCGCTGATTTTTCACCACTCGGCTTTCTTTTCAATTTCTCGAGAATTTCTTCTGTGGGTAGGTTCACCAAATTTCACAGATACATAGCTAAAGGTACTAGCCTCCAAATGGTATAGTAGCCCGCTGCCCTATCCCCTTTGCTTTTCTGCCATTCCTGTACATGTCTCAACATTTTTAAATGGGATGACGTAATACTTCAGCATGTGGAATACCTTCGACTCGGTTGCCAGGCTATCGTCTGGAGGCCGAGTCACCCAACAGTGACATGAGCGTTCACTTCCACCGCGAACAATAATTAACTATGTATGCGAAACAAACTCTCCTTATCACTGTGACCGACATTCCCAAACAAAATTGTGTTTATACATTAATGTTGATGATATATGTTGTCTTTTACAGTTTGCCATGCAGGTTTATTGTAACGGAACCGCTCTATCAGCCCGACATTCCAAACAGTACAAGTGAATCCCAGTCCTGCATACCTTTCCATGAACTGTGAAAACACAGCATTTTGCACGCAATACGTCCTACCGCCTAAAATGTCTGTGGCACAGGTGGAACCACCAGTGGAAAAAAGAACTATTTTCTGAGACATTTCTCTGGAAGCATTGCATCTGATCTAGAGCACGATGAACCCTGGAGCAGGCAAAACTCGGCGCAGTTTGTCGACGGGGGGCATTCTGCTTTCCATAGATGTGCCGACCCATCTAGGTAGCCTTTTCTCGAGTTGACACGTTTTAGGATGGTGGCTAGACGATCTTGCTCCAGCTTCACAAGCGTTCACAAGTTTTACCAGAGTGAGATTTGTAAACCGGAACCAGGGAAGCAATTATAATACAAAATGCCCCCCCCCGCGTCGATAAACAGCGCCGGCAAACTCTAATGAAGAGCTCTGATCCATGCGGCAGACCTTGATGAGGACGATTTGCTCTAATCGTTGACCTAACAGAAACAGTTCCGTCATACCAAAAATGTATGGCTGAACATCCAAAAGTCACACTGACATACGCAACGACACATTCCAGGTTCCATGCCGGCCACATATTAGGTCATCCCATTCAAAAACGTGAAGACATTGGAGGACTGGCACGAAAGCAAAGGGGTAATGACTTGTGGGCTTCTATTACCGATTATCTACGAATCAGTAGAAGTGACTGGCCTAGCCCCTAGCCACGGATGAAAATCTAGAGAAATTGAAAATAGATCCGAGTGGTCAAAATCAGTGCCAGAGTGCGCAGCTCAAATTTATCCTGTGCTGGACAAATAGTTGCACGTAATGGTGTTCTCTGAAATGGAATGAGGAAGATCTGCTATAAGTAAGTCCAAGAAATGATAAGAAAAAAGTTGTGGCCGAGGAAGGCCCCATAATGTTCATCCTACAAAAAAAAGGATGAAGTCAAACACTGAAGGTCTGATCACGACTTGAAGCTGAACCCTTGCCAAGCTTACCAGCGAGACTGACATCCCTGCTGCAGCCGTTGCCCGAGTTATGTCAGAAAAATCGAGAATGGTCGAGAGGGTGTGTTTGGACGCCTCATTTTCTTGTGAAAGCGCGAACGCAAAACCGATTCTATGCCTCTGTAGCAATGTCCATCGCCTAACGCCACTCACGACTGTGGAAATGCAGTGGTTCTGAAAACAAATATGGGTGATTGTACTCCGAGCCAAGAACTGAGCCAAGACTGAAAGTGCCACAACCGTTATTTTGTAAGCATGCAGAATGAGACAGCGTCCAAGTTCGTGCAATTGAAGTTCTGGCTCGAGCGGATGATCATTATGGCAATAGATCCCTGCGCTGTGGCTTCTAAGCGACTCTATCCAGAAAACAAACCGTCATTGTTGGTGTTTATTGCCTGTCTCTTGAGGGTCAGATCGACAAATGGATGGTACCACACAACTACTACAGGAAGGCCACGTTGCCTCGCATAGCTGGTCCAGGGGGAAAACCCGCCGAGTAACTGTATTGGTAGGCTCGGACGCAAACAATACTAAGATCTGGGTTCACGCCCGATCTACAGCCGTGCAATTTCACGTGTTCTCGTCAGTTGAAGGTAGTGTCTGACTTCAACTTTATGAGGCGACATTTTGTTATTCGCCGGAATTGGTATCGAGAGCGATTCACTCAGCTGTTTGGCAAAATACGACAGGTGTCAGTCGGTTCCCAACGATCCCGAGGCACTGGGAGCAGATCATTTGTAGGGAGGTGCGATTCCACTTGGAACTCACAGCCGCGAAATATTACATATCTTATCCCTCGATAGGAAGTGGCTGGCATCTGGAAAAATAGCATATTTTATCGGGATAGGGTACCGTGGGATAGTTTAACATGAAAAACTGTGTCCATCGTTTTCTGTTGCTGGTATAAAGACATGATAGATAACACTGTCGCCAAAAAGAGAATATACTCACAAAAGCTCAGCGCCCGCAACGTTCAACTCCATCGTGCGCAGGGCCACTACCATTAGGGATTATGGGGTTCACTTCTTCCGTGCTGTCTTCGCTTATTTTTTTCAGAGATGAAAGCCTTTCAGGTTTTGAATGAGACGACCTAATACATATACAGCACATGGTCTGTATGTCTAAATGTGAAGCGGAAGCAGAGGTGGTATAGTGACGAGTGGCGCGCTTACCACTCGCGCGGTCTGGGTTCGAAATCCCAGTTACGACACCCGCCACAGGCCAAACCTAAGCCCTTACCCTCCGGGGACTGGTAATTGGTACCAGATTCGTCTGGGATGATGAAACAAAACAGTCACTTGTACATCGGCTGGCTCCCGCAAGTCATTGTATAGGCCATATCGCAATCCATAAGGCCACTATGATTCTGAAGTGGAAGACTAGAATGCGTGCCGGTATCACAAGGATTGGATTACCGCGAAGATTTTATCTTTTATCATCTTTTTGTCTGTATGTGCAATTTACCTGCCTGCTTCAACCGTGACGCAGAGGGATGATGACAGGCCAGTGCCTCACGTTTTTACAGTTTAGCGCCGAAAAATCAGTCTGGTGTTATCCCTTTTAGATAAGGAAGAGACTTCTGTAAATCAACCTTGGAAACAGTCCAGGATAATATAATCGTACCTCGGTGGGTCCCAAATCCCATATCCTTTCATGAACGGATAAGTTCCATATACGTCAGCAAAAACTTGGCTCACGATCTCCAAAAATATCTAGGATTGAAACTTGTTTTCAGTTTAGATTTAAACTATTTTGTTCAACCTAGAAAACAGAAGACAAAACAGTTCTTCAAGCGTTTTTTTCGTGAGATGTTACCTCCATAGAAGGTGTCAGTGAGTAGCTTTTCAGCTGAAGTGAGAGCGTCTTGTAGCATTGACATTGCCGACTCTTTTTCTGCAGGATTTCGTCGTTCACTGACCAGGGCATAGGCAGCTGCAGGCACCTGAACTTGGAGTATTCATATACTTGTAAACTTACTAAAAGCTTACAGGAAGTAATGTGACTGCTGGATAAAATAATGCGATTCTACAAGTGTGCATGGTTTTTTTTAACTCTCACAGAAGAATGGATTTAGTAAATAAACCGTAAGGCATTGATTCATACCTTTTAGCAACGAGTCATGCCTTCTACTCCCCCACAAAATTAGCAGTAGAGTACCGTCCAAATGAGGACATAAATCAGTACCGCTGATTAAACTCCTTGGACGATGGCTCCTCGTTCATACAAAACTAAGTCATTCATATCAAAACTAAGTCTTGTCGTAGGTCTTCCATATCGCTGATATCGGCAACGTTCGATGTAGCTGGATTAGCCGACCAGGAGAAAGAATCATAGCCGGAGACTCGACTGTTAAAATACTAATCCCATCCTCGTTGAGGATGTGTGGCAAGTCTCCCGTTCAGGTCATCGGGCCAGACTGTGTGGTCGCCTCGCGTCACAGTCATAAGAATAATGCCAAGCTCTAGTTTCAAAACAAATGTGGCACTTATTAGAGATTCATTAATTGTTTTATGATGTTCTCATTTGAACGGTGCCCTAGAGCCTTTCAAAAAATCTATGGAAGTTCTAGTCTTCGTGAGTTACACTTTTACTATATTGGACCTAATTTTCCTCATAGGAGAGGCAGTGTTCGAAAAGTCACCTTAGCAAAATGACAGTGTAGGATCAGATGAATTTGGTCAGATATGCCAAGCTCCCCATGGTGGGATATACCTCGTGCCCGGTGAAAAGGTCTGACCTCTGAGTGTTCTTGCACAGGTTCCCAGCAGCCCGTATACTTTCGCCTTGATTAATCTTCGTCTGAGATGCGCCACGCATTTCACATCCACTGAGATTTGTTGTGATTACTGAACGACATGACATAAAAAGACTTGCGGGTGCCAGCGCACTATAAATGTTTTCGTCCTCTCATTATCAGACGAGCCTGGTACCAATTTACTAACCACGGAGACTTTGAAGAACATTTCGGCCCGAGAAAGCGCTCATGCGTGATGTGACCCCCGGGTCGCGCACGTGGTAAGCGGCACCATTTGCCACTACACTGCCTTCGCCCCGGTCAAGAAAGTAAGAAAGTAGAGCATGCAAAGTAGACAAAAACAGCTGTTAAGGTGACCAGAATTTTTTGTGCGAACGTTGTCGCGTGCGTCTGTGACCTGAAAATGCAAAAGGAAATGATTATTAGACCTTGTCTTCTAGATGGGCAGCAATCATCCTTTGTTTAGCTCTCAAGTACGGATCGAGCGGTAAGACCGGTTTAGAAGGATGGATCCAATCCAGATACTCGGATATCAAAGCCGACTCGATTATCGTCTGAAATGTTAGACTGCCCACTTTTTGTTATTCAATGCCTTTATCAAAAACAAAAGGAAGTTCATAAAGCTACAACAATGCCTAAATGGTTGTATGCAGCAGTTAGGTGACAGGGGGGGGGGGGCATTTTGCAGTTTTGCTACTCCCATTGACGTGTCGTTCCATCTAGAGAGCCTACTTCGTTGAGTTGACAGGTTTTACCATGGTGGCTCGACGAGCTTGCTCCAGCTTCACAAGAGTTCACAGGTTTCACCAGAGTGAGACTTGTGAACCAGAACTAGTGAAGCAAGGGTACAGCATTGTGTGAAATACCTAGGGACTGTATTTTTCCGCTGGGGAGGGGAGTGGTCGTATTTGGGAGAGAGGACGTATGTGCGAGAGGACGTATGTGCGTTTGAGAGAAATTTGCTGCGTTGGAAAAAGAGTTTTCCCAGCTCGTTTTTTTCGCGTGATTTTTTTGTGTTTCCCTTTCCCCTACACCCCTCGACAGCAAGATTTTTGGAAAAAAGTAGGAAAATTTTCGCTAAATTCAGGAAAAAGTGGGAGGAAGTTGTTGATAATTTAAGAAATTTCCTCCGTTTCACCTTGGCTATTTACCCCCACCCTGCTCCGCTCGGCGAATAATCTCTGGGTGAAAAACTGCAAAATGTGGTAAATAGGTGGATATATATGAAATAAAATAAATTAATAAATTGGTAGATAGGTGTTGGGAAGGGAGGGGGGGGTGGGGTACCTACATTACCATTTCATACATCATGATGCTGTAACCCTGAGTGAAGTAGCGAAAGTGCAAAATGCTCCCCCGTCGCCGCCTGGTTGTCTATATGCCGAGAATCAATCGAGTCAAGGTTTCCCACTTACTCAAGTTAAATTCGAAGTCATTAGGAAAAAGATGAACTGTATGAAACGGTACCTTATTGTTGTGATCCAGAATGGGTACTTTGCCATAAGGATGTTTATCGAATAAGAATTTCGGCTTATCGGAAAGATTCACATTTACAACTTCAAAGCTGAATAACTCTTATTTTAATGGAGCGTAAGGGTTGTACCGTACACTGAGCTGATTACTGACTTGATGTTCTTTTGTGCAAGAACTAGAAGAACTCGCTCACACCACGGACAAAACCGCATGATAATCAGGCGAAGTGGCCGCTTTGCAGGTTTCAGCTCATTACCTGAATAAGCAAGAGTGATTAGTAATAACGAGTGGTAATCACTCGGGGACAGACCATTTCTCAAAGATTTTGTCTCGAGACCGATGATTTCCGCCGAAACTGAAGTGATGGCCAGCAAGGCGACAAGGAGAGCACGCATTTCACACAGTGAGTGGTGTATGGGCGAATCAAACGCCATCAACCGCTCCACCTCCGTCAGAACGCTTTTTCGATCTTATCCATGAGCATGACCTGCGCCGAGGCTGAATGATTGAGCTCAATGACCTCATTTGTCACCTCTTTCACGTGGGCTGAACAACAATGTAAACAACGCAGAAAAAACAAAATAACTACCAACAAAAACTTTCACGGGCACCTAAATTCAAATGAATAAAGTGATTCAAAACTGCTTAAGAAATTGAAAAACCGAAATAAAATGTACTTGTACAGTGATCAGGTTCATCGAGTTCAATTTATATGCATTCAAGGACAAGCCTTCTCCATAAAGACACACCCGAGTTCACTGATGTTGCGCAGCATTTCTGCCCTTTTGACGATTTTATCAGTTTGTTAGTGCGGGGCGCTGACTTTCATTTTGCCGGTGCTCATTTTCTTCAGCTTTTTGTTTCAGCTAGCGAACCCAGATTCTTCTCAAACCCATGCTCCCTACGCAGAAATGGACTTTTATGTCCTTTCATGGTTCATGAAGGACTTCGCGAAAAGGTAGATCCAAATATGGACCTACCGCATAACAATTAGGTTAATAGAAACGTTGTTGCATCTTTTTTGAACATAAAATACGTGCCGGTAAAGTAAAAAAGTGGGACCGATGATGACAACAATGTTACCAAAATTAAAAGGCAAAGCTAAACCGGTCAAGTTTT